TTCGTCTTACTCATTTGGCCTTTGGAACTGAGAAAATTTTTTTTTCCTGCAAATTGTATTGTATTTCAAATTTACATTTCCAATCATCTGTTGTTGGTGTATAAAAACACATAGATTTTTATATTGATCTTGTGTCCCTCAACTTTGTCAAACATGCTTATTAATTTTTTCCTCAATAGTTTTTGAGGTACAGGTGGTAGGAGCTCCATAAAAACATTTAAATACTGTCTTTGTAAGCTACAAAGCTAGATTTAAAAAACAATGAGAGAGAAAGAGAGAGAACCAGACCTGATTTCTGCCCTAAAAAGTTTATAATCTCTTTGGGACAATGAGTCATTCACAGGAAAAGAAACTTGGATGATGCAGGCAATACCTCTCCTGAGGTGATCTTTCTGTTTCTCGCTCAGCCTTTCTCTCTCAGTAGAACTCTTGTGCCAATCATTGTGTACGCAATTTACCTGATTACACGTAAACAAGTGTCTGCTCAACAGCCACTGAAATCCACTGTTGGCTAACTTTCATTTAGTCGTGCATTCTATCCTTAAGAGGATAGAACATCTCGTTGTATAATGTGATGTTAGTGTGGTTATTTTGGCAGAAGAGGCTCTTTTTGATCATTTGGTCATTGGCTGGGACGTGTCCGTGGATGGTGATAGTGCTGTCTGGAGTTTGAAGAAGGGTCACTGAGTCTGAGGCTGGCCTGTCTGTTCCCTCTCACACCTCCAGCAACTCGAACAGTACCAGTCACACGTGGGGGCTTCGAGAAGGAGCAGGTGTGTGCACAGTGGTGCATGGTGAGGTCAGTGGAGACTTCACTGCAGAGAATACCCCTGGATCTTGGGTGGGAGTCAGTGTCTGTGAGCCTGACTTCATCCGCGTTGACTTGGTTATTTGGAAAGTAAGTCTCCAGCAAACGTGTCCCGAGATCTCCAGAGGAGAGAAACTAGGAGAAGTGATTCTTGTTTTGGCAGTAACTTCATCATGTCATGGGATGCAGATGTGATACCACAGCATCGTCCTGCTGCATGGTGGCCAGGCAGGTGACTCATGGGCTGACTCAACTCTCAGCCCAGGATGGACCAAAACAATGTGAGGACAGCTGCGTGCCATTGTGAGATTCAAGTGGCTGACACTGTCTGTTTTGAAGAAGGAGCTCCCTGCCATCCAGGAATGGGGCCTGAGTGCCACCCGCTGTTGCTTTTTTGCACTTAAAGGAAAATTTCCCCAAGTGCTCCTGATGGCTGGCTTTCCAGAATTGAGAGCCATCATTCCGGTCCTTTAAATGACAGGAGTAAGCATTTGCTAAACAGCATTGTCTCTCGTCATCTACGTTACATCTTGCTCCTTTCAGAAACTAGTTAATGAGATGTGCAAGCTTGTGTGAACGAGGAAATGCCTGTTCTGAAGATGAACAGGAGTGAGTGTGAGTTCCTGGTGTTTTCGGGACAGCAGTGCTTCCCCTCTCAGATCAAATGTCAGAGTAGGACTTTCCCCCCTTCTTTTCTCTTCAACTGGAGAATGTTTGTTATTGTTGTTTGTTGTTTTTGTTTCTGTTTTTTGTTTGTTTGTTTGTTTTTGAGACGGAGTCTCTCTCTGTCGCCCAGGCTGGAGTGCAGTGGCCTGATCTTGGCTGACTGCAACCTCTGCCTCCCGGGTTCAAGAGATTCTCCTGCCTCAGCCTCCTGAGTAACTGAGACTACAGGCACCTGCCACCACACTCAACTAATTTTTGTATTTTTAGTAGAGTTGGGGTTTCACCATGTTGGCCAGGCTGGTCTTGAACTCCTGACCTCGGGTGATCTGCCCGCCTTGGCCTTCCAAAGTGCTGAGATTACAGGTGTGAGTCACCACGCCCGACCCAGCTGGAGAACGTTATTGGCAGCATCACTCTGGTCTTCCATTTCAAAGTCCATGGTAGCTGATTTGGGCACACTGAATATTTTTGTTTATCATGTTCTGATTGCTGGAAGAGATAGGATTATCCTGCCACTGCCTCTGGGTCCCGTGGCTTTTATTTGACAATTAATGGTGGTGGCTCCCGGTGTTCCTTCCTTCCCTGGCTTCCTTGTTAGGGATCGTGAATGAATAGCAAGTGTGGGTTTTGAGCACTGATTCTTCATTCCTTTCAGAGGGCTTCTGAGCTGGGAGAGCCGCCAATGGGATCGAATTTTCACTTCCTGAAACTTCAACCAAACCTATAACTGGGGAGATAGGAGAGCTGAGAAACCAGAGGCGTGAGAATGTGTTTGGTTAGGCAGGACTCTTTGAAAGCAATCTTAGGACGGTACTGAGTTCTCTCCTGCTTATGAGACAAGAATGCGGGATTTATTGTGTTGATGTCAGGCCTGAGGATCCTCTCTCTTCACAAAGCAGACATAGGTAAGGTCTATTAAGATGTGACTAAAAGGCTTAAACGTTTTTGATACATTTTAAATGGTGATCCTTCCCACCTGTATATTAGTCACTTTCCTTTCCTCATACCCAGGAAGATGTGAACTTTAGTTTTAATCCTAGAAAAAAATCCCAAAGCTATGACATGACCTGGTTCTTATATTTTTATCTGTACGTGAAGAGTAAATAAATGATCAGTGTATGTTTGTCGTAACCTGTTTGGTGAGGTTTCTCGAGACTAAAAAGCCATACTCATTTTCATTCACGGCAGGTTGTTGGGGTTTTGTAGTTTAATGATTCAGGAGCTAGTTCTGCTTAGGACATAGGAAAGCAATGGTGTGCTGAAGCCAGCCCTACCGTACCTGGCTCCGTGGTGAGCTTCATGTTGGTAGCCTGGGAATACTTACCGAATGCAAACCTGCAAATCAAGACAGTCCTCTTTTCCTTCAGCAGGTGGTTAAATGTTTATCAGCTTTATAATTCCTCTTATTTAATGGAAAGTTATATAGCACTCATTTTATGCTAAGCACGAAGCACTTCATTAGTATTAACTCACTTAATGCCCTGGAGGTAGGTGTTACTGTTATCCACATTTGCAGATGGGGAAACTGAGGGACAGAACCTTCGATAGCTTCCTCCAGGTCATGAATAGTGAGTGGCTGAGCCTGAGTTTGGATCTAGAGTCTGGTCTCAGAGGTCAGGGGCTGAACCACTGCCCAGTGCCGCCTGCTGCTGTTTGAGCACAGGTTGTGTGCCAGTAGGCAGGAAATACTCTTCTGCGGGCATGTCACAGGCAGTGGACCCTGGTCTGGCCAGCTCCAAAGCCCAGAGCCTCCTCCAGGCTCTTGTTCTTTCATTGGGAACATGGTCTTCTGGATGGATAATCTCGAACCCCGTTTCTTAAAATATTCTTTGGTCATTTAAAGTCAAGTGGGTAGGGGTGGAAAAAAGCCCTTTATTTGCTCACGAAGTGCTTGTTAAAGAAAAAAAATCATTCAATGACATTGTTAAAGATGGCGAGGCGAACTTTATTCAGGATCACGGAGACAGGTACAGGGATCACAGCCAGCAGATTTTGCCGTGGGAAAGAGACTGGGATCCACTTGAGCACAGTATGGGCAAGTAGGAGTTAATTTATAACCAAAGATCAGGGTGGGGTTGGTGGAAAAATCACTAAGAGAAAGCATCAAGGGTAAGGGGGATTCTGGCTGAACCAACCAAACAGGATTCTTGCTGAAGACAGGCTGGGTGATCAGACATCACCTGTGGCATGGTGGTGGCTGAGGAACCCGATCAGATATCAAGAGTGATCACATACCGAGGGTGGGAGGTTCTGGCTTAACTGACTGAGCAAGGTTTTTTTTGCTAAAACTGGATTTTACAAGGAAATGCACAGATGGCCTAGAAGGTTCAGGAGCCTGATGTAAGTTTGATCAAGCGAAGAATCTTTGTCCGTGGCGAGTGATGTCAGAATGCGGCTTTACTATAAAGCATTTCGTGTTGAAGGCATCTCTAGCTATTATTGTTAACTGTTCACAAAGGACAACAAACGAAATGCCCCACAGCTTTCTTTTCATTACTGCTAATCTTAGAAATGGTCAAAATGGTGGACTCTGAATTTCTTTCTTTTTTGGGTTTGGGGTAAATGGAGTCACTGTGGGCATGTTTTATGGATTCTTTTAAACGTACGTATCTATTAAAAATTGGGAGGGCCCACATGGCCAGCTTTAAAACGTCAACCTTGAGCTGTGTCTGGTGCTGAGCCCTGGACCACCCACTGGGCGGTGGGTGGCTACTGGCAGTGCCTGTGGATGTTCTTTGGGAAAGACAGTCTGATTGCACCTGCTCTTCCTTAGTTCCTGGTACTGTGAGGCACTCCTTCCCCACTCTCCTGGAACCCTCAGCTTAACACAACAGTGGCGATTGCTCTGTCCGTTTTCCTATGAGGACCCTGAGATTTCAACAAGGTTCAGTAACTCACCCGTGACACTTCCAGAGAGCTGTGTTGCCAGGAAGTTGCCAGCTGTGTCGCCCAGGCCTTTCCCTTCTGAGCCCATCTTGTCCTTAACCTCTGTCAACCTTGATGAGTTTAGTCACCTTGTCGTGTTTCTTCAGCATTTTTATCCCATGCAGTCTCCCTTGAGTAGATGTTCTGTATAGGGGAGATCACAGCTGCCTGGTGAGAACTGGGTTAAATCTAGCAGGATGCCTGGGCTTAGTGGCAGTGGAGTTGTGGGTGGCCTTGAGTCCCAGGCAGTCCCCTGAGAGTCCTTCCCGATGGATGTCTAAGTCATTGAGTGTGTTCCTTCTTCTTCCCGGTCAGGCTGTCCTGGCTGCAGCACTTATAATTGCACCCATCCTCCTCCCCACTCTGATCCCTGAGGAGAGTGCTTCTGCTGTTACCTCTAAGGTACAAGTGGGTCCCAAAGTCCTTAAATATGGAGGGATGTGGGGAAGCAGTGGTGAAGATGCAGGCCAAAGGTCAGCAGGCAACACTGGTTTTTGTTCTAGGTAACCTTCATCTAGAGATTCTTCTAGTTCTTTCTGGATTTATCTTCTAAAAACTAACTGATATGGAAATATTACAGTGCTGTAATTCTTTCTTCTAGGTCATACTGAACATTCCAGATACCTATCATTACTCGATGCTGTTGATAAAAGCAAGATGGCTTTGAACTCAGTAAGTGGTTAATTATTACCTTCCTGGCCTTTTCTTTGTTCCCTTGTCCCTTCTGTTATTCCCAACAGTGTTTATGGGTCAGCAATTGCAAGGGCTATTTGTAGGGAATGCTGGGCCATGCAGATGCTGTTCACCTCTAGAAAGAGTGATTTGGGGCGCAGCCACACAGCTGCCCAGGTGAGTCGCAAAAGCCATGGCTGTTGGGTAGACGTGAGTGATATGCATTCTCACTTTAACCTCGTCCCTTCCTGCTTTGCGAGGCAGAGGGCAGGGACAAGGAATGGGGACAGATGAGGCAGGATGGCGATAACGGGGGTATGTCCTAGGGAAGAGACCCATGTGGGATCCTATTGATGCCCAACTGAAGGACTAGGAAAAGTCATAACTGCATGAGGCATGGGTGGGCCCTCCCTCTCCCTCTCCCTCTCCCTCTCCCTCTCCCTCTCCCTCTCCCTCCCTCTCTCTCCCTCTCCCTCCCTCTCCCTCTCCCTCTCCCTCTCCCTCTCCGTCTCCCTCTCCCTACCTCTCCCTCCCTCTCCCTCCCTCTCCCTACCTCTCCCTCCCTCTCCCTCTCCCTCCCTCTCCCTCTCCCTCCCTCTCCCTCCCTCTCCCTCTCCCTCTCTCTCCCTCTCCCTCTTCCTCTCCCTCTCCCTCTCCCTCCTTCTCCCTCCCTCTCCCTCCCTCTCCCTCCCTCTGCCTGGAGCCCACTGCCTTTGGAGACAAATGTGGCTAATCTCTGCTCCCCGTTGTAACTGACCCATTTGCCTTCTACCTAAAATAAGTGCACTTAGTAAAGAGTTTTAAACACTTCATAGATTCTATATCTGGAAAACAGACCTTGTTTTCTCCTTTGTTACTGATATTCATGTTTTACTGGGTCTGTGTTTAATTTCAAGTCCACTGCTCAGGCATTTTCAGGGACAAACCTCCTTGCTTACTGCAGCCCTTGCTAGTGGATGGCAAATTCTTAGATGGCTGAGATTGCAGCCTCTGGCTCCCTCATTTAGATGAGAGATTGCCTTGTGTTTTCCCTCTGTGTGCCACTCTGGTTCAGAGTTGTAATCTTCGGACTTTTGAAGGATAGCATTAGTGAGTTATTAAGTGGAGGTGAACTCTGCAAGCCTTGTTTGGCTCATTCCATGATAATCAACTTCCCTGGAGGCCTCATTTAAAGTTCTAAGAGCTATGCTGCCTCTACTCAGAACACCTGTCCATTGAGTACAAACTTGCTGTCATTCTCTGAGGTCAATAAGAGACAAGGGGCAGGCTGGGCGCGGTGGCTCACACCTGTATTCCAGCACTTTGGGAGGCCGAGGCAGGCAGATCATCTGAGGTTGGGAGTTCAAGATTAGCCTGACCAAAATGGAGAAACCCCATCTCTACTAAAAATACAAAAATTAGCCGGGTGTGGTGGCGCATGTCTGTAATCCCAGCTACTCAGGTGGCTGAGGCAGGAGAATCGCTTGAACCTGGGAGGCAGAGGTTGTGGTGAACAAAGATCGTGCCACTGCACTCCAACCTGGGCAACAAGAGGCAAATACTGTCTAAAAAAAAAAAAAAAAAAGGAGCGAGCGAGAGAGACAAGGGGCAGAAATTAATTAATGGGTAAAAGTTTTGCATCGGGACCCTTAGATACAGATAAGAGGAAAAATGTGGCTTCCCAGAGTGGCCCAGCCAACAGGTAACTGGGGAGAACTGAAAGAAGGGGAAGATGTGGGCTAGTGGGGCCCAGAGTGGCCTGTTTGGGGCGAGTCTTGACAGGGTAGGCCTTGGGAAGGCAATTTTTAAGTAGGCTGAGGAAGGGGAGATCGTCATTCTAAGAAAATAGGCACCAACTGAAGGACGGAGCTGAGAATAAAATGCTACTTCTAGGCAGTTTCTTTCACATTTATGTATGGCCACACTCTGGCCCAGAAATTTCATTTAAAGGGATGTAGCTACACATTTCCGCCCTCTGCACAAAAATGCATGTACTTTGTAAGAACGTTTCTTGCAGCACAGCTGCTAACAGCCCACATTGTGAACCACTCAAATGTCCATTAATAAGAGATGGTGAGTGAATGATGATACATTCCTTATATGAGAGAAGAGGATGTGGAAGAGGTATTTTCAGGATAACACAGAGAGTATGCTCCTTTAGGCAAATTTCTTCACTCAGTTTTTTTCCTCTGCAAAATGGTTATATTAATTCGTACCTGTGCCAGTCTTGCTGGTAGCGGGAAGGGTTATGGTGAGTGTTCAAGGAGATTATGAGTACAGGGGCCTGGCAGCAGCTGAATTCTCCAATGTTAGCTATTATTCTCCTCATTATAATTATGGTATTGCTAGTTTATAATTTTGTATATCAATACTCAAGGAAAAGACTGGAGGAATTAAAAGTATAGGATTTTGGCTTAATGGATTCTAACCCAGACCTCTACACAACTTTTTAAAATTATTACTATATATTACTAAATCCCAGTGTCTGCCACTTTTTTTTAAATTTCAAAGAATACATAGCCTGTTGGGCAAACTTGGGTTTGTGTCCTTGGCTTTTCCGCAGGTGCGGAAGCCCTGGGGTGGGTATGCCCTGGCTTGTGTGGTTCTTAAGTTTGAGTCTGTACGTCTGGAGTGGGTCAGGGGCCCCAGAGCTTTGCTGCCATTGATTTCTCCCCAACAGCAGACAAAGCCTCACAATGACCTCAATTTTCCCTCTTTCTTTTGAAGCACCGACTTTTCATGGTGCTTGTCTTGATTGTTTTCATAGTGCTTTTTTTTTTTTTTTTTTTTTTTTTGAGCTGGAGTTTCGCTCTTGTCACCCAGGCTGGAATGCGGTGGCGCAATCTCCATTCACTGCAACTTCCACCTCCTGGGTTCAAGCAATTCTCCCGCCTCAGCCTCCCAAGCAGCTGGAACTACAGGCGCGCACCGCCATATCCAGCTAATTTTTTGTATTTTTAGTAGAGATGGGGGTTTCACCATGTTGGCCAGGCTGGTCTCAATCTCCCAACCTCAGGTGATCCACCTGCCTCAGCCACCCAAAGTGCTGGGATTACAGGCATGAGTCACTGTACCCAGCCAAATCGGTATTTTTGTATGTAGAGGGAAATAATCTTCTCAACTGTAATCGTGAATAATATTGTATTAAATTGTCATGAAGGAACTCCTGTTTAATAAATGGACATGTAAGAAAAAAGGAATGAATAGTAAAACCAAACCAAAACAAAAAACTTTGGTAATTGAAAGTTCTGGTTAGTTTTTATTCTAAATAAGTTCAATGTTTGACATAGTTGTAGACACCTAGGGAGAATCTGTAGTACCTTTTCTTTTCTTTAACTCTTTTTTTTTTTTTTTTTTTTTTTTTTTTTTGAGACAGAGTCTTGCTCTGCCACCCAGGCTGGAATGCAGTGACGTGATCTCGGCTTACTGCAATCTCTGCCACCTGGGTTCAAGCCATTCTCCTGCCTCAGCCTCCTGAGTAGCTGGGATTATAGGCGCCCGCCACCACGCCCAGCTAATTTTTGTATTTTTAGTAGAGACGGGGTTTCGCCATGTTAGCCAGGATGGTCTCGATCTCCTGACCTCATGATCCACCTGCCTCTGCCTCCCAAAGTGCTGGGATTACAGGCGTGAGCCACCGCACCCAGCCTTGCAGTACCTTTTAATATCTTGTCACTTTCTTATTAATCTCTAACTGTACAAGTTGTATAGACAGGATGCAAATTTCACAAAATAAAACAAAAACATTATCAATTTAAAAGATCATTGGTACAGCTGTGATATGATGTGATAGTTTATATTGAACCCTTTAGTGCAAATAAGAGTTTTATATTATTCATCTTCTTTTCAATTGTTTAGGGGTCACCGCCAGGTGTTGGACCTTACTACGAAAACCATGGATACCAACCGGAAAACCCCTATCCTGCACAGCCCACCGTGGCCCCCAATGTCTACGAGGTGCATCCGGCTCAGTACTACCCGTCCCCCGTACCCCAGTACACCCCGAGGGTCCTGACGCATGCTTCCAACCCCGCCGTCTGCAGGCAGCCCAAATCCCCGTCGGGGACAGTGTGCACCTCAAGTAGGATTCTCTTTGTGTTTATTTCCTGTAATAAACCCGAGGTCCTGGGTCAGCCTCCCCAGGGGGCTCTCTGCTCCCACCACCACTGTCGCCTGGTCTGACCCTTCTCCATCTGCCGGAGCCAGTCTGTCTTCATGGCTTTCCACTCTCTTCCTGCTGGATCAAAGCTGTCGCCATCAGCTCTAGCCTCTTGCCCAGGGCCTGCAGAGAGACCTCTGTCTGCCGTTAACTCTCCTGTACAGCTTTGCCTGTTCTACTCAGCATAGGCTTTTGAGATCACCTTCTCTGGGTTTCTTGGCTGTGTGGTTTATTGATGGCTGCACTTGAATAACTGGTAAGCTTCCAAGAGCAGAAATCAACTATCTTACCTTTCTTTGTCACACAGTCCCCTAGATATGACGGGTCATGTTTAAGATGCTCCTTGTTTCTTTGTGTTTAGTGAATGACCTGGCTGGTGTGGTTGTGGCACAGAGTGTGGTTGTGTCTGAGCTGTCTCAGTGGGCTTCAGGGTCCTGCGGGTGGCTGGAGCAGGCCAGAGTGAGCGTGGGAGGACTGGAGGTTAATTTTATTTGCTGTCACTTCAGTCCCTCCTCTTCGTCACCCTCCCATTCATCTCCTTTCTTTGCCATTTCGCTTGGTCTCGTGTCTTTCCAGACTGCCCCCTCTTGCACTGCCTCCCAGCTTTTAATTCAGGCTAGTTTCAGTGCTAAGAATTGCCCAGGTGGAAACAGCATAGCAGCAGCTACACCAAAGATCTTTTACATTGATCTTTTAATTGATAGTGTTTTTATTTTATTTTGTGAAATGTGCATCCTGTCTCTACAACTTATACAGTTAGAGATTCGTCAGAATGTGAATTTCCACAGGTCCACCATTACATAATCAGTCATCGACGTGATTAACGCCAATGCTCTGTGAAGCTCTGTCTGTCCCCACCTCTCCCCCACTCAGGACAAGTGCTGTCACTCCTGTGTTTCTGCCCCTCTCTCAACCCCTCACCCTTCACAAATGGCTCTTCCGCCCTGTTCCTCTCCGGCCACCTCCTGTCTCTGAGTTTTCTACCCTTTCATGAGGCTTCCTCCCTTCCTTCCTCTCCCTTCTGTGTTTCTCTCTTTTCCTCCTTTCAATGCCCTGCACCAAGCGAGTACTTGTGTTTGCACTGATCTGCTTCTGGGGGTGGTTGGGTAGGTCAAAGCCAGTGGTTCTCAGTCAGAACAATTTGGACCCCCTAGAGACAATTGGCAGTGTCTGGAGACAGTGTGGGCGGTTACAAGTAGGGAGGGGGTGCTGCTCCCAGGTAGGCACCAGGGATGCTGCTCAACCTCCTGCAAGGCACAAGACAGCCCCCCGACAGCAAAGAATGCTCCAGGCAAAATATCATTTAGTGTGGAGGTTGGGAACTCCTGGTCTTTGTCCATTATGGGGATGGAAGGAAGCCAGGGTGAAAGGGTTAAGGAACTGTCTGTATGAGCTACCTCCCAAAGAAACAGCATGAAGGTCCTCTCCTGAAGTCAGCACCTCCAGACAGTGGTGTTCCCACCAGTGATGGCCAAACCCAGGAGGGCAAACGAACCCCTGGCCCACCTGATAGACACATTTCCACTTTTCCCAGGAAAGACTAGGTGATGACAGAGTTGGACGGGTTATATCAATCCCTTATCGGTTGCTTTTACAAGGGAAGCATATGAACCTACATGTATGATTTTGCATTATAAAATTCATAAACTCAAAAGTAATTTAGTAATTTAATTGAACTTACGCTGGTATTATTTTTAAGAAAACACTGTTGGCATTTAATATATAGAAATGTGTACATTTTGAAAGTGTAATGTTTGGCTTTGAAACTCTTCTCCCAGTTATTGGGTAGCACACATTCAGAAGCATGTATCAGGAGTATAAAGAACTTTTTCCAGACTTAATGTATTTATTTGCTTTAGCAACAGCCATAGAAGGTTGATGATTGAATAGGAGCAGACCCACAGCTTAAAGCTTAGGCTTTGGGGAATCGAAGGTCAATAGTCCTCCAAATGTGTGCGTGAAACAAGCAGTTAAACACAAGAAACCATAGGGCTGAGTTGACAACCTTAAGTTGGTCATGATTGAGGGAAATGCATAGTGGGTTTTGTGTGCGTGTTTTTTTGTTTGTTTGTTTGTTTGTTTGTTTTTTGAGACGGAGTCTCTCTCTGTCACCAGGCTGGAGTGCAGTGGCATGATCTCGGCTCACTGCAACCTCTGCCTCTCAGGTTCAAGCAATTCTCCTGCCTCAGCCTCCCGAGTAGCTGGAACTACAGGTGTGCCACCGCGTCCGGCTAATTTTTGTATTTTTAGTAGAGACGGAGTTTTGCCATGTTGGCCAGGCTGGTCTCGAACTCCTGACATCAGCTGATCCGCCTGCCTTGGCCTCCCAAAGTGCTGGGATTACAGGCATGAGCCACTGTGCCCAGCCGGTGGGGTGTAATTAAACTGCAACAGCAGCCATGTCAAGCCAGGACCCAGTGGTGTCTGTACTGAACCTGCGCTGACTACAGATGCCTGTCCAGCAAAGTAAACTTGGGTTTGCACACGCTTCTAGTGAGACCTGTACAGGTCAGCACATGCTGAGTGTGAGGTTCAGGATACCTAAGTGAATAGCCCTCAACTCAGCAGACCAGTTATTTTATCTTGGATAAAACGGCACTCGGGAAGCCGTCTGTGGAGGAAAGTGTCCTTGGTAATGGGCCAGAGAGGCCATCTGGAATTTCTCTCATGAACTACCTTGGCCCTAGCTTACCTCCATCATATATAATCATTGCAGCTGAGTTATGAGAACGTTGTGTGCCTGGGCATGGTCCTCAGACCAGTGGTGCTGGCATCACCTGTGAACCTGTTAGAAATTCAGATTCAGGTCGGGCGCGGTGGCTCACACCTGTGATTCCAGCACTTTGAGAGGCTGAGGTGAGTGGATCACTTGGGCCCAGGATTTCGAGACCAGTCTGGGAAACATGGTGAAACCTCATCTACCAAAAATGAGCCCAGCAGAGTGGCGCACATCTGTGGTCCCAGCTACTCGAGAGGCTGAAGTGGGAGGATGGCTTGAGCCCAGGAGGTGGAGGCTGCAGTGAACCACGATTGTACCACTGCACTCCAGCCTGGGCAACAAGCAAGACCCTGTCTCAAAAAAAAAAAAAAAAAAATAGCAGTGCAGATTCATGCCCGATCCCCAGCTGAAATAGAATCTCTGGTGATGGGAACCACCATATTCCCCAGGTAATTCTTAAGCCTGTGACAGTTTAAGAGTGATTGTAGAATTGTCAGAATGTTGTCACTAAGTGAGAGGCGTGGCATTGAGCCCTCAGCAGCTGGATCAGCTCTCAGCTTGTCTCCCTGGGAGACCTCCAGAGGCACAGGCGTGGCCAGGTGCAGAGTTCCAGGCTGCCACGCCACCTCTCCAGCCCGGGAGGGTCTGTTCAAATGCCCCCTCCTCCTCTCTCCTCCACCTCTGCACCTTTCTTCAGGGAAAGCTCCCGGGAGCTCCTGGACCTGGGGCTGCCGGGCATCAGTGGGGTGATGCGGATGGACGCCCTCTCTCCTGACCCATGAGATGGCTGAGCCCAGCGTCTGACTCTGCCATGCCTCTCTGGTGCCTGTAGCTATCCTCTGAACTCTGTGTGACTTTTGCTTTACCCTCTGACCAACAATGCCATGTCTTACTAGAGAAAATCAGTGACCTCTTCCAAATTCCTTAATTTTTATCTGAAATGTGCCTTTCCTCTGAGTTTGGTATTTCTGCGCTTGGATCAAAGGGCCTATGCTGGTGCTGTCCAGCAGGACTTAGGGACGCCATGGGAAGGTTCTACCGCTGCACTGCCTGACATGGTAGCCACTGGCCACATGTGATGACTGAGCACCTCAATTTACATCATGTTACTTAATTCCATGGAACATTAATTAAATAGCCACATGTGGCTGGTGGATGTCCAAATGGGACAGTAGCATCCATTCGCTAAACAACCTTGGGTAAGACAATTTATTCTGCTTTGAGTACCGCTGACAGAGTGATGATAGTTTTGAGGACGGTATTATTATTTTGCTTATGCTTGTAATTACCAGGATGAGGTCTTAGTTCTTTCTTTTTACATTAATCATCTGCCTATTTTAAGATCCTCTTTTAGCATACCATACTTTTTTTTTTTTTTTGAGATGGAGTTTTTGCTCTGTCACCCAGGCTGGAGTGCAATGGCATGATCTCAGCTCACTGCAACCTCTGCCTCCTGGGTTCAAGTGATTCTCCTGCCTCAGCCTCCCAAGTAGCTGGGATTACAGGCACCTGCCACCACGCACGGCTAATTTTTGTATTTTTAGTAGAGATGAGGTTTCACCATGTTGGCCAGGCTGGTCTTGAACTCCTGACCTCGGGCGATCCACCCACCTTAGCCTCTCAGAGTGTTAGGATTACTGGCGTGAGCCTCTGCGCCCAGCCACGCATACCATACTTTTTAAAGAGCCTAACCTTCATGTACTTTGCTGAAGATCACGGCTTCCTCCTGTTGGTCTCCAAATTGCATAAGGTTTAGTGTTATGGAAGAAGCAGGATCATCCATCATATTTCTTAAAATTAAAAGTCACATTTTTAAGAAATAATTATTTCTTAATATGGTGTACTATAAAAATAATAGATAACATTTGAGAGCATGACTTCTAAACAACTCTGGTCTGAACGTTGCACTCTCCTCCTTCTTCCAGAGACTAAGAAAGCACTGTGCGTCACCATGACCCTGGGGGCTGTCCTCGTGGGAGCTGCGCTGGCCGCTGGCCTGCTCTGGAAGTTCAGTAAGTGCAGGGAGCCTTGATCCCACCATGTGCTCCTGCAGTCCCCAGTGCTCTGAGCCAGACCCTGCTCTCTGGGCTATTGAGACCTCTGGAGGCCCTCCGTGAGGTTCCTCTCTTCCATAACGAGGCTGTCTGTCTTCCCTTCTCTTGTTCAGCTATGAGATTGACACATCATGGGGAAAGCATTTAGAATGTACCCAATGCTTTGGGGTGCTTGGTGCCACCCAGCACTGTGAGCACAAGTTCTACCTTGGGGCCATACTCAGTTACCTGTATCTCACTGCACAGCAGTGGCTGTTGGGGGCCAGGCCTGCCCCTCCCTGTCCTACCTCCTGCAACTACAGCCTGAGCCTTTCCCATTAGCCTGGGGTGGTGCAGACCCATGCGCCATTGTGGATCCTTGAAGTTACCTGTGTGATAGAGAGGACGTGTGAGTGCCATCCAAACGCAAACACTGAGAGGGTCCTTCCCATTGCCCCCACGGAAGTAAGGTGGCCCAGTGCTAATTCCACTTATACTTGCTGGTGGCAAGGACACTTCTCCTCCTTATTAAAGTGGGGGAATTGGCTGGGTGCGGTGGCTCACGCCTGTTATCCCAGCACTTTAAGAGGCCAAGGCAGGTGGACCACCTGAAGTCAGGAGTTCGAGACCACCAGCCTGGCCAACATGTTGAAACTCCATCTCTACTAAAAATACAAAAAATTAGCCAGGCATGGTGGCATGTACCTGTAATCCCAGCTACCTGGGAGGCTGGGGCAGGAGAATCACTTGAACCCAGAAGGCAGAGGTTGCAGTGAGCCAAGATTGTGCCCCTGCACTCCAGCCTGGGTGACAGAGTGAGACTTTGTCTAAAAAAAAAAAAAAAGTTGGAGGCTGCAGAGAGCTACAGTAATGCCACTGTGTTCCTCACTCCATGAGGCTCATTGGGTTTCTCAGCCTGATGGGCACCTCTCTTCTGTTTTCTCTGCAAGTGGGCAGCAAGTGCTCCGACTCTGGGATAGAGTGCGACTCCTCAGGTACCTGCATCAGCTCCTCTAACTGGTGCGATGGCGTGTCACACTGCCCGAACGGGGAGGACGAGAACCGGTGTGGTGAGTCGGCCTTGGCCTTGGGAAGGGACTGCTCTGCTCACCTTAGAGACAGCAGCCAGGTCCAGGAGCCTTTGGGTGGCTGGGCCTGGCCTGTGTCCAGTACGCTGACACATGATGCCATTGAATTCCTGCTCCAGGCTGAGCCCTGGGGCTCAGAGGGGTTGTGTTTCTGGCCCAACCTCACACAGCAGGTGGGAGGGAGATGACAGGGCCACCGAGGACTGTGTCATTGGAACCATACGTGCTCTGAACTGCCACAGAAAGTCAGTTAAGATGAGCAAACTGTTTATAAAGTTGGAGATGCAGGCCAGGCACGGTGGCTCATGCCTGTAATCCTAGTACTTTGGGAGGCCGAGGCAGGTGGATCACCTGAGGTCAGGAGTTTGAGACCAGCCTGACCAATAAGGTGAAAACCTGTCTCCATTAAAAACATAAAAATTAGCCAGGTGTGGTGGCAGGTGCCTGTAATCCCAAATATTCAGGAGGCTGAGGCAGGATAATCACTTGAACCTGGGAGGCGGAGGTTGCAGCGAGCTGAAATCATGCCACTGCTCCTGCCTGGGAGACAAAGCCAGACTCTGTCTCAAAAGATTAATTAATTAATTAATTAATTAAAAACAAAGTTGGAGATGCACTATGTTATTTTCAAAACAAGCTGCCTTTAAAGGTCTATCTCTTGTCACAGAGTGGGCTCATCTGTTTTACTTTATTTTCTGTGGTTTATCTATTTACTTATTTTAATGAACGAGGAAGCATTGCACCTATTTATGGCATACCACATGATGTTTGGATACATGTATGCCTGTGGCATGGCCAAGTCACGCTAGAACATGGGCCTTACCTCATATACATGTCTTATGAAGAACACATAAAACCTGCTCTCATAGTGATTTTCAAATATGCAACATAGCGTTTATTAACTGCAATCACTATGATGTACAATAGATCTCTGGAACTTATTCCTCCTGTCTAGCTAAGATTTTGTGACCTCTGACCAATATCTCCCCAGTGTTGTCACCCCCCGCCCCCAGCCTCTGGTAGCTGCCATTCTCTCTGCTTCTGCGAGTTTCATGTTTTTACATTCCACGTGTCGGTGGCCTCATGCAGTGTTTGTATCTCTGTGTCTAGCTTGTTCACTTAGCGTCATGTACTCCAGCTTCATCTATGTTGTCGGAAATGACAGGATTTCTGTCTTTCTTATGGCGGAATAGTATCGCATTGTGCATATACACCACGTTTTCTTTATCCATTCATTCACCGAGGGACACTTAGGTTGATGTCATATCTTGGCTGTTGTGAAAAATGCCACAGTGAGCGTGGGAGTGCAGGTCTCTTCAACACACGGATATCCTTTCCTTTGGAGATAAACCCAGCAGTGAGATTGCTGGATCACATGGCAGTTGTGTTTCTAACATTTTGAGGAAACTCCATACTGTTTTCCATAAAGGCCGTAGCAACTTCCACTCCCACCCACAGGGTGCAAAGGCTCCATTTCTCATCTACATCCTCACCAACTCCTGTTATTTTCCATCTTTTTGATAGGAGCCATGCTTAGAGGTATGAGATGATACCTCATTGTGGTTTTCATTTGCATTTTTATTTGTATTTTTCATGAATTTTTGAGGGTGATTTCAAGGGTAGTTAGTGGCTGTAACAGGGAAAGGAGCCTGAGTATGAGGGTTGTGCTAATCATCCCCCTCCTGCCCGCTGCATACTGAATGGAGCTCGGCAGGGGGCCTTTTACTTTCTTCCTCTTCTTTTAAAACTTATTTCCTGGCTGGGCGCAGTGGCTCATGCCTGTAATCCCGACACTTCGGGAGGCCAAGGTGGGCAGAGCATGAGGTCAGGAGTTTGAGACCAGCCTGACCAACGTGATGAAACCCTGTCTCTACTAAAAATACAAAAATTAGCCAGACGTGGTGGTGCATACCTGTAGTCCCAGCTACTCAGGAGGCTAAGGCAGGAGAATCACTTGAACCTGGGAGGTGGAGGTTGCAGTAAGCCGAAATTGTGTCACTGCACTCCAGCCTGGGCGGCACAGCGAGACTCCATCTCAAATTTCCCAAGCATTCCAGGCTTGCGGATCAGCGTTGGTGGCGGGGTGCGCTCTCACATCTTAGTTCCCGCTAAGCACACTCTGACATGTTTACACTAGAACCATTTTTTTTTTCTAGAAATAGAAATTTCAGAATTGTAGAGTCAGAGGACTTACCAGAAATCTCTTAGGTAGTTCTCCTCCCCTCCCTCAAGTGCAGTCCTAACCTCCTGGGGTTTTCTGTAGAAACCATGAGCCTCAGAGCTGCCTGAGAATTCTAGACAGAGTTTTCCGTGTTAAAGTAATTTCCTCTCTCCTAAGGGCCATCCTTGGTGGGGACTGGCTTCCTGTTACGCCCTCACTGTAAGTCCTGGCTGTGGAATTTCTGGTGAGGAGCACTGGCCCGTGGAGCTCGGCCCTTGAGCGGCCCGAGTGTTCTGTGTTCTTGATACCTTTCCTCCAGCACAGCCTTGCTTCCCAGAAAAGGGTTTGCACTTGAAAATGATGCATTTGCTGATTAAATAGAGTTCTTTTGCTTTATTTAGTTTCTTAAATAAAGTGGAGAGTTTTTAAGATGGAGTAGCTTGTAGTTAAGATACCACGTGGAATGGTTTTTTTTTTTTTTTTTTTTTTCCCCTGGTGACAGGGTTTCACTCTGTTGCCCAGGCTGGAGTGCAGTGGCATGATCATGGCTCACTGCAACTTCAACCTCCTGGGGTTAAGCAATTCCCCCAGCCTCAGCCCCCTAAGTAGCTGGGACTGCAGGGGCTCGCCACCATGCCTGGCTAATTTTTGTGTTTTTTGTAGAAATGGGGTTTCGTCAATGTTGTCCAGGCTGGTCTCGAACTCCTGACCTCAAGCAATCCTCACAACTCAGCCTCCCAAACTGCTGGAATTACAGGCGTGAACCATAGCACCTGGCCTGGAATGGCTTTTGATATTCTTCTATGTGAACATGTGGGTGAAAAAACACCAACAAAGTCCTTATGTTACCTGAAGAGTTGCTCTCTTCTTAGTATTTAAGTCGTATTTATTTAAATACTTTAATAGTTGTACACCCAGGTAGGTCAAAATCAAGGAAGTACAAAAGGGTATGCTGTGAAAAATCTCTTTTTCCTTGCTCTGCTTACTTACCTACCCCCCATCCCCCACCTTACACCCCAGACACACACAGATGTGTGTCTGTTCACTTTTTTAAAAGTAACTGAAATGAGATATGCTGCTGCTTCTTCTTTTTGTTTTTTTCTTGTTGCCCAGGTTGGAGTGCAATGGCAGCATCTCAGCTCACCGCAACCTCCACCTCCTAGGTTCAAGAGATTCTCCTGACTCAGCCTCCCGAGTAGCTGGGATTACAGGCATGCACCACCACACCGGCTAATTTTCTATTTTTAGTAGAGACGGGGTTTCTCTGTGTTGGTCAGGCTGGTCTTGAACTCCTGACCTCAGATGATCCACCCACCTTGGCCTCCCAAAGTGCTGGGATTACAGGCGTGAGCCACCGTGACTGGCCTATCTTATTTATTTTTAAAAAGAGCTTATTGAGATCTAATTTATGTACCATAAAATTCAAGTATATAATTCAGTGCTTTTATATATAAAACATTGTATATATAAAATAACTTACTGAGATATACTTTTTTATATAAAACAGCTTATTGAAATGTTATTTATGTACCATCAAATTTAAATATATAATTCACTGACTTTTATATATTCACGAATATATGCAGCTATCACCACAGTTAATTTTAGGATATTTTCATCAGCTCATAAAGAAAGCCCAAGCCCTTGAACTATCACCCCGCATCCCTCCTCCCAGCCCATCCCTCCTACTCCTAAGCAATCACTAATCTACTTAGTGTCTATAGATTTCCTACTCTAGGCATTCCATGTGAGTGGGATCATGCAATATGTGGGCTCATGCAGTACGTCTGGCTCCTTTCACTGAGCATAAGGTCTTCAAGGCTCATGCAGGTTGCAGCCTGGGTCTGAATTTCATTCCCTCTTCTGGCTGAATCATATTCCATTGTATATCGTGGACATATCCGATTCTGCTCACCCAGCCGTTGGTGGGCGTTTAGAGTGTTTTTGCCTTTTGGCTGTTTTAAGAGGGCTGCAGTGAACGTTCATACAAGTTTTTTACCCAATGCCTGTTTCAATGATTTTGTGTAGAGAGCACTTTTTGCAGAAAAAGAATAGTTTGTGGCCTCCCTTTGTGTGCGGTCAGTGCCTCGCAAAGAGTAAGCTCTACGCGGCCACCTCCGGAGTCTCGAGGAGCGCGGGGCTCGGGTAGCAGCTAGGACAATACAAGCTGGGACAAAGCCTGGTGCAATGGTTCACACCTGTAATTCCCACACTTTGGGAGGCTGAGACAGGGGGATCATCTGAGGTCAGGAGTTTGAGACCACCCTGGCCAACATGATGAAACCCCATCTCTAATAAAATACAAAAATTAGCTGGACGGGGTGGTGAATGCCTGTAATCCCAGCTACTCAGGAGGCTGAGGCAGGAGAATCGCTTGAACCCGGGAGGTGGAGGCTGCAGTGAGTGGAGATCACACCACTGCACTTCAGCCTAGGCAACAGAGCGGGACTCCATCTCAAAAAAAAAAAGAAAGAAACTCACAGAGAATCCTCCTTCTCATGCAGTTCGCCTCTATGGACCAAACTTCATTCTTCAGGTGTACTCATCTCAGAGGAAGTCCTGGCACCCTGTATGCCGAGACGACTGGAACGAGAACTACGCGCGGGCAGCCTGCAGGGACATGGGCTATAAGTGAGTACGGGGCAGCACCCGCATGGTGACGGGAACAGACAGTAGAAACATGAGAAGACCCTCTCTCTGCCTCGCCGTGAAAGTACCGGCACATGAGTGCTGGGGACAGTTGTCACCTTCCAAAAGCTGAGCCCTGTAACCAGCAGGTGGAACTTGTCCTGCTAGGGCTGTGCCCAGCACACGGACCTCGGCTCGCTGCTACCCTGCCCTGCCTCCTCCTTGGCCTCTATAGACTTCTAGTTGCTCGGGAGTGCCCAGTGCTGTGGTCGTGTGGTCAGGGGTGCAGGCTGAGGGCATTAGGTGCCTCTTTTCCCAAGATGCCTCTCAGCCAGGGTCCATTCACCCCCTGGGTAGACGTTGGGCCAGAACAGCCGGCGAGGAGGGTTGGGCTGGGGAGAGCAGCAGGGACAAATCCTGTGCCCAGTTTCACTGCATTCGGGAGCCATGGAAGGCTTTTGAACTGGGGAGAGAATCAATCAATCAGATTTATACTTAAAAAATGTCATTCCTGCTTGCAGCTCTGAGGGAAGGTGGGAAGGCTTAAGGGGGTGTGTGTCCCTTGCCAGTGGTTCCTGGCCGGGGGTGCGGTGGTTACCACTTACCAGCACTGCTTGGGGAGATGTGGCAGCCCTCAGGCATCAGGGAAAGGGTGGTAGGATTCTACTGCCACTTTATTTTCCATGGGAGGGTCCCCAGGTGATTTCTATGCAACTTTAGGGTATTCGATATGCCAGTTTTCAGAATGAATTACAACTTGATGAGAAAGTTGGCATCTTAGCTAGTCACTCTGCCATCCCTCAACAGCAAGGGAGAATTACACAGCAAAGCGCCCAATCACAGTCCAGGAACCTGGTGGAATTGATAACTGGGGACATTTTAACATCTGTACCTTTTATTAGATTAAATGTATGTATGATTATACACTCCTATGTCCTTCTCATAGTTTCTTGATCCTAACCTGGATAAGAAACACAACCAATGAAAAAATTTTACCTGACACTTTAGGGTTATTGAACTGAAAAAAATTGTTACACTTGGTTAGAATGTGTGATTTTTTTTTTTTCCTAAATGCTAAGGTTTTTCCCTCTTATTTTGAATGTCATATGAGAGGTATTATGACATAGTATAGGATTTGTATTTGCTTATGTCTTAACCATTACATAAATAAGGTTTTCTGTCTTTTTTAGGAATAGTTTTTACTCTAGCCAAGGAATAGTGGATAACAGTGGAGCCACCAGCTTTATGAAACTGAACACAAGTGCTGGCAACGTCGATATCTATAAAAAACTGTACCACAGGTATGCAGTGACTTCTTCTTTGAAACATTTTGGAATGAAATCAACTAGGAGACACCATGGGGAATCGCTGTCCTGAGTCTCATTTCTCCAAGCTGCAATACTCGATCTGGATGGGTTTTGCATTGGGAGGAGATTAGAGTCTGACCAGGCCTGGTTACTCTAAGCAGCCCTTGGTTTATTCATAGGAAGTGGCCGAGGTTCCTCTGCTATTTCATTTTCAGCCTCTACCGTCTGCCCTCGATGGTACCGGATAACACTGCAACACTGACATTCAACTCTATTTATTTTCCTTTGCTCTTCAGACATTTAGAGATGTGTCTATTGTGTCAGGGTGTGGTTCTAGGAATCCAAGATAATATCTCAGTGTCCCAGTCGGGGTGACCGGCTCATCCCAGTTTGCCAGGGACTTCACTGGTTTGAGCAAGGAAAGTCCTGCTCTGTTCCAGGCCGCTGGGCTGGCTGGTCCCCTTAGCCCCAACCCTGGGACGGCAGTGCCAGACGGTGCTCTGTGAGGGGTGGGCAGCATTCTGGCGGCCTGGGAATGAGTCGTGTGTGTCCAGGGGGTAGAAGTAGGCACAAGCCACAGGTCACGTGATGAGTGGCTGACCTGGCTGGGAGGGCGGAAGAGGGGATGGACTTAGCTATCCCTTTTGCTTTGCACACATTTAAGATGTTTGCTACGATTGTTGCTGTTATGTGAGTGTTTTCTGATGTGAAAGATACACAGTGTCCTGTGCCCATGAGCTCTCCTTGCCTCCCAGGTCCCCAGGGCTTATGCCTGGTGTCTAGGCATCACCTCCCTGCCCGCCAGGTGCCAGGTGCTGTGTTTTGGGGGAGGATGAACTAATCACCCTGCGCCAGCTTTCCTCTGAGTGGGAGCCTGGGGCAGGTTTGCATTCCTGGTGGCCGCTGGCAGAGGTGTCTGGGGGCCTGACTTCCACCACAGCCTGCTGTCCTGGGGAATGTGGCAGGGCAAGCCCAGTGGGGAGGGCTGTGCGCGGCCAGGTGCACCCATCAAAACAGCAGGGCTGCGGTTTGTCCCTGTGGAGAAGCTAAACACAGCTGCCTGGGCACTTTGTAAATGCTGAGTGGTTCTTTGTCTTCCTGGGTTACACACAGAATCAGGGAGCCAAGTCCAGCCGGGCAGGGGTGGGGGAGGGGAGGAGGTGCTGCCATCCCTTGGCAAGAGCCTTGGGAACTCACAAGGAGGCTGGAGGGCTTGGAAGGAAGAAGAGAAGGCCATTGTCTGGTAGGCTCTATTCTGTCTCCGCGGTGGTGGTGGGCGGAGGAGGCACTTCTTTTCCTCTTTTTGTGCAGGAGTTGCCCTTGGATGCCTGAGTTCTTGGCTTGTTTTCTGTCGGGCTTCTGTGAATAGCCACATGTGCCCTGACGCTGTGACCACACAGGGCTATCTCTACCGCCCTTAGGATTCTTAGGAAATGTCTTCTCTTGAAGAGAACATGTCTGCTTGGCCGTGTCAGTGCCCCAGAGCCAGAGTCCACCTGAAATGCACCTGTAGTCACTGGGAACCCGGGGGGTGTGCCTCAGTAAGAGGGTGTTAGGAAGGACCTATTATTGTAGGGCCTGGGCTCCTGTGAGGTGGTTTGGGGCGGCTGGAGGAAGCGGGGCTTTGCTCTGGATTGGATGCTATCAGGAAGCAGGGGTAATTCTGTGATGGCTGCTTTATTATTTTTTTTCTAGGAGGAGGTTGGAATGAGGCTAGGCTAGAGCTATGATTGGTAAAGAAACGTCCATCGTTCAAGTTAGCCAGGATAGGAGGCGAGTTCAGGTCGTGATTTTGTGGTTCTAACCCCCAGGTTCCTGTTCTGTCTGTTCAGACATCATTTCAGAGGAGGCTCCTTGTGTCTGGCCCCATCTCGGACATGGGAAGCCTAGTCCGATATTGATGCTCAGTGAAATTGTTTATGTTCCGCAGAGCACACGGCCCAGTTGTCGGGGTGGGCCAGCTCTGCACGCCACGGGCTGTGACTTTCCTTCTCAGCATAGCCTGGGGAATTCACTGAAGGACAGAAGGCACGAATGACTTCCTCTTCATCCATAACCTGGGATGTTTGACTCCCAAAGGAGTAACTCTTATGTTTCTTCTAATTCTAGGGAAATTATTGGTTATGTTGCCTTCAACACTACAAATGTAAAGCAGTCATAGGAGCCCAGAAGTTTCCAAATGTCTTCCTTACAAAATTAGAAGATGATTTTAAATTCCAAGAGGAAAAAGAAAAACTAGCGTTGTCGTATGCTTACCCTCACAACCACCTTACGAGTTGGTACAATTTTAAGAGAGGTTGAGTAACTTGCCCAAGGTCACACAGTGGGGATATGAGCTGCATACTTTGGCTCAATGTCGGTCTTTGCCACTGTCCCTATATGGATTTACTTACCTTATTGGGGTTGTAAATCACAGACCCTTCTACGTCTCAGAAGACAGGAGAGGGAACATCAGAAGAAATGACTGATTTCTGAGCATGCGAGAGGCAGGTGACTCCTCAGTATCGTGACCAGAATTTCCCTTGTTCTTTTTGTAGTGACGCCTGTTCTTCAAAAGCAGTGGTTTCTTTACGCTGTATAGGTAAGTTCATCTGGAGTCCCCCTTTTGATACTTCTAACTAGGAAATGCTCTCTACTTTCAGAACAGTACTCCCTGTGTCTCTGGGGGCGTGGGAAGGAAGAAGGTGGGGTCACGGGTTGGGATGTGCCCAGCAGCCTCTCGCTCTTTCCAAGGAGCTCTTGGTTTGGATTTCCATGGCCTGCAGACACCTTCAGCCTTGGGTCCAAGGGACACCCCCTGAGGTCAGGCCCACTGAGGAAGCTGACAAGGCCCTACGCTTTATGCCACCCATGAGCCGGAGGCGCAGCAGGTCTCTTTCTCCAGAAAGTGAAGGGGGTGGCGTTAGTGAGCCCTGGCAGCCACCTAATGTGGACTTGGAGCATCTGCAGGGCTGTGGTCCAGCACCATGGTGTGGCCACCACGTACCCATCAGCCAGTGGGACCTGGGAGGAGAGACAAACCCGGAGAACAACAGCGCTCTTGCCTCTTCTCTCCTGAATTTTGGACAGTGGCTTAGACTTGGCTGTCCCCATCTCCGTGTTTGGAGTGCTTACAGTTTCCAAACCGTTTGCAAATGTGGAAGCCGCCATCGCTCTCCTCCTCTGGGATGGCCCAGTGCTGTTGTGGGGCCGTGGTCCTGAGCTCAGCTTTTCATTTGAAGAGCTGGAAGGCGCTGACACAGTCATCCCAGCAGGGCTGGCTCAGGTCTTCTTTAGGTCCTGAGTTGGGGTCCAGCACAGCTCCAAGGGCACATAGTACCCGCCCTGCCCTCTGCCCATGTACTCACCTCCTGGTGGAGAAGACACTTGCACACAGGAAGCAGGGAAGGCAGCAGGCCCCTTCACCCCTCACCCCCTCACTCACCATCTCACCCCCTCACCCCCTCATTCACCCCTCACCCCCTCACTCACCCCTCACTCCCTCACTCACCCCTCACCCCCTCACTCACCCCTCATCCCTTCACTCACCCTCTATCACTCCCTCAACCCCTCATTCACCCCTCACCCCCTCACTCACCCCCTCACCCCCTCACTCACCCCTCACCCCCTCATTCACCCCTCACCCCTTCACTCACCCTCTATCACCCCCTCACCCCCTCATTCACCCCTCACCCCCTCACTCACCTTCTATCACTCCCTCAACCCCTCATTCACCCCTCATCCCCTCACTCACCCCCTCACCCCCTCACCCCCTCATTCACCCCTCACCCCTTCACCCCCTCATTCACCCCTCACCCCTTCACTCACCCTCTATCACCCCCTCAACCCCTCATTCACCCCTTATCCCCTCACTCACCCCCTCACCCCCTCACTCACCCCTCACCCCCTCACTCACCCTCTATCACCCCCTCACCCCTCATTCACCCCTCACCCCCTCACCCCCTCATTCACCCCTCACCCCTTCACTCACCCTCTATCACCCCCTCAACCCCTCATCACCCCTTATCCCCTCACTCACCCCCTCACCCCCTCACCCCTCATTCACCCCTCACCCCCTCACCATCTCACCCCCTCACCCCCTCATTCACCCCTCACCCCCTCACCACCCTCACCCCCTCACTACCCCTCACCCCTCACTCACCCCTCACCCCTTCACTCACCCTCTATCACTCCCTCAACCCCTCATTCACCCCTCACCCCCTCACTCACCATCTCACCCCCTCACCCCCTCACTCACCCCTCACCCCCTCACTCACCCCCTCACCCCCTCACCCCCTCCCCCCCTCACCCCCTCATCACCCCTCACCCCTTCACTCACCCCTCTATCACCCCTCACCCCCTCACTCACCCCTCACCCCCTCACTCACCCTCTATCACTCCCTCAACCCCTCATCACCCTCATCCCCTCACTCACCCCCTCACCCCCTCATTCACCCCTCACCCCTTCACTCACCCTCTATCACCCCCTCACCCCCTCACTCACCCCTCACCCCCTCACTCACCCTCTATCACTCCCTCAACCCCTCACTCACCCCTTATCCCCTCACTCACCCCCTCACCCCCTCACTCACCCTCTATCACTCCCTCATCCCCTCACTCACCCCTCACCCCCTCACTCACCCCTCACCCCCTCACCCCCTCACTCACCCCCTCACCCCCTCACTCCCTCATCACCCCCTCACCCCCTCACTCACCCTCTATGACTCCCTCAACCCTCACTCACCCCTTATCCCCTCACTCACCCCCTCACCTCCTCACTCACCTCCTTACCCCCTCACTCACCCTTTCACCTCCTCGCTCACCCCCTCACCCCCTGACTTACCCCCTCACTTCCTCAATCACCCCCTCACCTTTTCACTCACCCCATCACCCCCTCACCCCTTACTCCCTCACCTCCTCACCCCTCACTCACCCCCTCACTCACCCCCTCACTCATCCCCTCACCCCCTCAATTACCCCCTCACCCTCTCAATTACCCCCTCACCCCCCACCTCCTCACTCACCTCCTCACTCACTCACCCCTTCACCATCTCACTCACCCCCTCGTCTCCTCACCCCCTCACTCCCAGCCTGCCCCTCCCATCTTCCTTTTCTTTGTATGAGAATCTGGGGCCCTTGAGTGGTGTCAGTCCCTCCAAGACTCAAGGAGTCCCCAGGGCCTTGTTATCCAGAACACCCCGACCTGGGTCCCAGGAGACCCCATGGGATCACAGGAGTGTTCAGGGATATGGTGCTTCCTGGGTCTGGGTGGGCTGAAGGGGCGTCCTCCCTTCTCCAAGCAAGAGGAGACCCCCAGGAGCCCCCTGAGTCTGCCCCCAGCAGTGGTGCCGGTGCCATCTGCCCTGTCCTTGCAGCCTGGGAGACCCTCGGGAGGGGAGGGCGCTGGGTGGCTGGGCGGCTTCTGCTGATCTCACCCCACTGGCCTCCTGTTTGTCTTCCTCAGCTTGTGGGGTCCGCTCAAACTTAAGCCGCCAGAGCAGGATCGTGGGCGGCCAGAACGCGCTCCTAGGGGCCTGGCCCTGGCAGGTCAGTCTGCACGTCCAGAACATCCATGTGTGCGGAGGCTCCATCATCACCCCCGAGTGGATCGTGACAGCTGCTCACTGCGTGGAAAAGTATGCCAGGGGCGGCGCGGGCTGGGTGGGGTCTCCGGGCTGGCCTCCAGTCACCCTGTGACCTTGAGCAGGGTCTCAACCCTTGCAGCCTGGGCGTCCTTGTGTTTAAATGGGGAGAGTGTTGCGCCTGCTTCCTAGGCTTGTGGGGCACCAGGTGCACTCATGCCAGGCAGCGCATGGCTGTGTCGTCCTTCAGCACGTATGCACTGAGTGTCCCCTGCACGCGGGACACAGGGTGCAGGTGGAACATTCTCCACGATGTCACCAGGACCAGCGTTCCTTCCAGCCGCTGTCCTCTGAGCTCTGTCCTGCCCTTGAGTGAAGCCCCCGCCCCCTGAGGTCTCCTCTCTCCGGGACACTAGTCCCAGGAGAGGACACACTCAGACAGGCTCAGGGGCCTCAGGCTGCCCTGCTGGAAGGTCCCTGGGGTTAAGTGTTCTTGGCCACAGCATTGCTCATGCAAAGGGTTAGGTAGGGGTGAGGCTAGCTGTGACAGTGTTAGCATTTATGGAAGCTACCAACCCCTCCCCTTTTTCTTAAACACATAGTGCTTTTGGTCACATGCTGCTTTGGAGGAGGCCTTACTCGGCGGATGTATTTTTCTGCCTTAGAGAGAGGCTGAACTGGGTTTGACTCTTGGCCCAGCCCTTTTTGGCTGCGTGGCCTTAGATGATTCACTCAACATCTCTGACCCATGGTGCATCCAGCTATAAGATGGGCATGCCCTTCTTCTCTCGGGCTGTTATGAAGGTCAAGGAAGCAAGAGCTGTTACCCAAGGGTGCTCCCTTCTCTGCCCATCTTCACACCCCCGCGTGCTCTGGGCCGTCTAGGAGCTGGGTTTCTCTCAAGGGCTGTTACCCAAGGGTGCGCCCTTCTCTCCCCCTCTTCATACTCCCAAATGCTCTGGGTCCACTAGGAGCTGGGATTATCTTAAGAGGGAAACACCTGGATAAAGGAAATGGTTTGATTGATATTGGACTTCAAGTCTGTTCATCAGTACCCATTTATTAAGCACCTACTATGTGCCAGGAAATGCTTTGGCATACAAAGGAAAATAAGGGCCAGTCCTGCTAGAAATGGCCTTGAAACCCCAGGGAGGGATGTCGGCCCCATGGTGGGTGCTGCAGATTCCTCCACGGTGACACAAGAGCCAGAAAGAGGGATGATGTCGGGGGCTGAGGCGGGGAGTCGGAGTGGAGGGAGCGTGGGGGAGAAGGGGAGGCCAAGCCCCTCCTCCACTGTCTCCCTGTGAGGTTTTTGGTGAATCATCCCGCCTCTGGGTGTCTTGCCTCCAGCTTCTGATGTTGGCAGTTCATTCACCAAGAGCTCCGTGTTTGTGGCTCTGAGATACTGAGTCCTTCTTCTCTCCCAGACCTCTTAACAGTCCGTGGCAATGGACGGCATTTGTGGGGACTTTGAGACAATCTTCCATGTTCTATGAAAAAGGACACCGAGTAGAAAAAGTGATTTCTCATCCAAATTATGACTCCAAGACCAAGAACAATGACATTGCGCTGATGAAGCTGCATACGCCTCTGACTTTCAACGGTACACGTGGCTCAGGCTTGGCAAGCAAGTTGGCAGAATCTTAAGGAGATGTTGATTGGAAATGACACTTGTGCTGTGCCAAATGGAAGGGAGGCATTTGCGTTGAGCGAGGGTGGTGTGCAGTGGGTGGCCAGTGGGAGAGGCTCACAGAGGCTAAGAGCACCTGCCGCATTTTGGGGGAGGCAGCAGCCACCACATCTGTTCTGTACTGTACTGAGTGGTGATGATTCGAGCCAGGGGTGGAAAAGGCTAGAACAGGGCTTTCCCACTGCAGCACTCTTGACATCTGAGGTGGTTCTCCGTTCTGGGGCTCTCTTGTGCCTTGTAGGATGTTTAGCAGCATCCCCAGCCTCTACCCACTGGAGGCCAGCAGCTCCCGAGTTGTGACAACCAGTGTTGTCTGCTGACATTGCCAAACATCCCCTTTGAGGCAAAGTCACTTCTAGTTGAGAACTACTATTGAGATGTGTAAAGATCCTTGATTTTTAAAGATACATTTTAAAACCAAGTTGCTTAATTCAGGACAAACATGCTTTCTCTTAGCCTCTTATTCGGTCCCACTCTGGTCCATCCAACGGTCTGGAATGTTCTAGGCCCGTGTGGATAGAGAAGCAGCAAAACCTCAGCCCTCCCTACAACGTGTCTGTATTCACACTGGGAAATGGTTCACATATAGAAGAGCGAACACATGAGCAACGGCGTGGTGCCTCTGGGGCGAAAGCTGACTCCATCGGCTTTTTGGCTGTTGCCTCCTGTGTGTCCTTCCCCTCTTGGTCACCTGGAGTGTGTAATTTTAGAAGCAGAGCTAGCAAATAATTCCTCTTATAGCAGAGTTAGCAAATAATTCTACTTATAAGTAGCATAACTTCTTGCCTGCCAGAAGGAGGGGTCTGGCAAGGGGAGAAAGTGAAAATGTGGGACTTGTTGGGATGCAGGGTCCTCTGGGCAGGGTGGCCGGGGTGCCAGGCCCAGCAGCCTGCATGTGGGAAGGCCAGGTGGAGACATAGCCTGAGGCCTTGGGTGATACTAGCCTGGCTCACTGTATTTTCTCTTCTTAAAACAGAGGTGGTGAAACCAGTATGTCTGCCCAACCCAGGCATGATGCTGGAGCCGGAACAGCACTGCTGGATTTCTGGGTGGGGGGCCACCCAGGAGAAAGGTGAGGCTCCTGGGCATGTAGGACTGCAGGGCCCACAGATGGAGCATTGGGTTCGGAAGTGGGAGGTCCAGGTTTTAATCCCAGTTCTACTACTCAATGATTGGATGACTTTGGGTGATTCCCCCAGTCCTTGTGCCTCAGTTTCTCCATCTGCTAAATGGGAGAAATCCTGCCCACTCTACCTAATACACTGTGTTCTTATTACGATCACACGGAGCAGCATGTGGAATGGCTTTTGAAGTATCTGGGTCATACGAGTTTAGAGGTGCAGGATCTCCTGTGTTGCACCCATTGTGAGCTTGGAGCTGCCCTGGAGATCCCACCAAGGCCTCCATGGCTGAGTGACAGGGGCTTGGTGAGGACGGGCATCCTGGACCTGTGGTGGCCACATCTAAACCTGTCCTCTGCCCTGATAATCACAGAGAGAGGCTCTCTCGGCCCCCTTCAGTTGCAGTCTGCATTTCTCTCTGACAGTCTTTCAAATGAAGGGAGCCTGGCTGCTTCATTTTTATGGAGGGTTGGAAGAGCTTAGTGGCAGGCAAAGGTTCATTTTACATATGTTTACATCCTTCTCAAAAGCGTCTAGGCCATACAGACAGCAAATCCGTTCAAACAGGGGAAAGTACAAAGGTTGGGTGATTTGGGGGGAGCATCAGGGAAGGTAGTGGGGGGCATCCTGGCTCCTCATCAGCAGAAACTTACTGCAGTGAAGCCACAAGCTGGGCAAAAGGCCTCATGGAATCCAAGATGAAGGGAATAGCGACAAATATGTGTGCACACCTGCACCTAGTGCGGGCTGAGTGCTACTCAGGTGCCGGGAATGCAGAAGTGAACAGAGTAAGACAAACATCTCTGCTGTCAGGAGCTTTACCTCTCTTGTGGATGTGGGGGCCGGGGGCGGGGGGCAGGTGTGGTCAGACAGAAGACAAACAACTGAGCGAGGTACTTCCAAATATCTGAGGGTGGGGAGCAAGGTCCCGGCTACTTTGAAGGGGTGGTCAGGGAAGGCTTCTCGGAAGAGGTGGCATTTGAGCTGAGACTCAAATGGCAGAAATGTGTACACATCAAAAAGGCTAGTGCATGTATCTTAAGGTGTGGTCAAGGGGCCAAGGAGGTGGGCTGGGGCCAGATTGCATAGGTCCTTGTGGATTATGGTGAAGACACCAGTTTCTCGTCTGCTTGAGGTAGCGAGATCGTGAGCCAGGGAGTGCCATGATCTGGCAGCTGTGCGGGGAGTGGGGATGAATAGATGGAGATGAGGATCATGGTGACGAGTCCATTGCTGTGGTTCCCTGAGACAGGAAGGTAGCTCATAGCAGAGTGTGGGCATGGTTGTGGAGAGATGAGGGTACATTTGGGCTAGAGCCACCAGACTTGCTGATGGGTTGCACGTCTGTGGGAGAGAGAGTGAGAAGTCAGGGACGATGGCTTTCTGCTCTGTGACTGAAGTCCCAGGGTGGCGGGTGGTGCCATCTTCCAAGCCAGGGAATATTGGTTGGTGAGAATTTGGGGTGGGAGAAGGTGTGATGGAGGGTTCTGGTTTTGCACATTAAGCCCACGGTCCCCAGAAGATACCCAAGGGGAGGCGAAGCGAGAGTGGGAAATGCAGAGGTAGCAAGTGCAGGCCGTGTCTTGAGAAGCTCTCATGTGCAGGGAAGCCAAGAAGCAGGCGGCCTAGGGAGGGTTGTGTGTGCTCCAGAAGGGTGTGTGCGTGCCAGAGGGGAAACGGGAGCCTGTGTCCTGGGTAGTGTTCAGTGAGGAGCGGGAAATTGGTTCGGCAGAACCAAGCCTTTGGTGAATAAGAGGGGGATTCCATGGCACTGATAGAGCCCTGTGGTTTCAGAACTGGGAAGTTCTTTCCCTGAAGCTGAACTCCAGAGCTGCACTCAGCACAGGCACTGCCAGTTGTAAGGAGAATCCAGGTTTCCCAGGAGAGGGCTTGGTGCTAGGATGAGCTGAGGGAGGCAGGGCTGGAGAGAGAGCTGTGACCATCTGTGTAGTGTGTGTGCGGGTCTCAGGGAGGGAAGTGTGCTCTCCCTGCGAGAGCTGCTGGCAACACTGGGAGCTCAACAAGTCTCCCTGTCCTTAGGGAAGACCTCAGACGTGCTGAACGCTGCCATGGTGCCTCTCATTGAGCCGCGGAGATGCAACAACAAATACGTCTACGACGGCCTGATCACACCAGCCATGATCTGTGCCGGCTTCCTGCAGGGGACCGTTGATTCTTGCCAGGTAATTCAACATGTTTATTCTACCTTTGACCCTTACCAGATCCTACTGAACCCCTCATGAGAGAGAGGGCATTCTTGGGGTCAGCAGAGCCTCCGCAGTGACATGGAGCCAGCTCGGGGCAGTCATGGGAAGTGATGGCCACAAACAGTGTGAACACTTCTGGTGGCAGAAGCAAGTACAAACAGCAAATCACACGCGCCCTCTGAAAAACTGGTATTTGGTAAAAGTGCCAGTGGAACAGAAACAAGTATTTAGACTATTTTAAATTATGAACAGCAATTTATTTGGTAACTATCAGCTTGTACAGATTAAAATTCAGGGTGGGGGCTGTCTCTTTGGGGGTTACATCTCTGTGACCGTCACCCTTTGATGGTGGAGACTTGAAGCCCACACAGTCACTCGTAACTCACACCGCAACACACACCCCCACCTCCTCTAGGCCTGGTCAGTGGTGTGCAGTGGATTGTGATTTTTCTGCTCTCTGTACCTTGCCGTGTCCCCCAGGGTGACAGTGGAGGGCCTCTGGTCACTTTGAAGAACGATGTCTGGTGGCTGATCGGGGATACAAGCTGGGGATCTGGCTGTGCCCAAGCTAACAGACCAGGAGTGTACGGAAATGTGACCGTCTTCACGGACTGGATTTATCGACAAATGAGGGTAACTATCCTGTCCTCCTTCTAACTATTCTCTGATTCCTCAAGCCAAAGCCAGACATCTGTTAGGCATGGTTCTACTGCCGGAAGCTGACTGCTGACCACTGGTCAGCATGAAACAAACCCCGCTTACTCCAGCCACAGCCCCGTCCCCCTGGTGTCCACCCATTGCTCATTGCCTCTCACTGACTTCACTTGCATATTTCCCCTGGTGCTTGGATGAAAAGTGCTGGGGCTCGGCTTGTGTACTCTTTCGTGCTCTGCCGACCACACTTAGTTCTGGCTCAGCTGACTCAGTTATTCCACCCAGGCCACCTTGCATCAAACTTTTTTTTTTTGAGATGGAGTCTCACTCTGTTGCCCAGGCTGGAGTGCAGTGGCACGATTTCAACTCACAGCAACCTTTGCCTCCTGGGTTCAAGTGTTTCTCCTGCCTCAGCCTCCCGAGTAGCTGGGATTACAGGCACCTGTCACCACGCCCAGCTACTTTTTGTATTTTTAGTAGAGATGGGGTTTCTCCGTGTTGGCCAGGCTGGTCTCGAAGCCCTGACCTCAGGTGATCCACCCACCTCTGCCTCCCAAAGTGATAGGATTACAGGCGTGAACCACCACGCCTGGCCTCACATGAAGCTTTTGATTTATAGAGAGCAGAGGGAAGAACCGACAGTGCCCATCCTTTTCTGGGGCTATCGAGTGGCCCCTGGGCAGCCCCCAAGGTTAGGAAGTGCAGGAGCAGCCAGGGTTCTCTGATGCCCCAGACTCAAGCACGAGGGAAGGTCCCAGGGGTTCCCTGTGAACCTCATGGACGTCTCTGAACCAGATCTTCTCATCTCCAGGGCCTCAGACCTGTAGTTTTCTCAGATTGCTACGCTTTCCAGGGCCGGGCTACTAGTGGAAGAAAATGTTCTATTCTGTGTCCTCTCAAGTCTCCCAGATGCCCAGTCTGTTGAAGGAGGAGCAGAACCAGGGGGCATTTCCCGCTAAGGCCCGACCTGTGTCTCCTTCAGATGACACACAGGACTCAGGGCCTTCCCGTGACCATGGGGCCCAGCTTGGCCTCGCCTGGCACAGGGCCCAGTGCTGGAAACAGATGACCCCAGGGGAGGCAGGGCAGGAGGGAAGCTGGCAGGGCTGGGACGGTCAGCCAGGCTGAGGGGTGGACTCACGCCAGGATGGAGCTAGCAAATGAGCTGGGTATGTTTGGCGGCTGCAGGTGGGTCCGTGTGGCTGTGCGGGGAGGGAAGGGCTATGTGGCAGGAGACTAGCTGGGGGAAGCCCAGACTCTGCTGAAAAGATGTCCCTCGGGCTGGCCTGCACATATGCTGCCTGCTCCTCCAGGAGCTCCTGCCCCACCATGCTCAGCCTAACTCTGACCTCCATGCTGGAGAGAAAAATGATCCTTTGCGCTATTAAGCCTTGCTTATTTGGTTTCTAAGTGCTTCATGTGAACCTAGAGGAAAAAAACTATTTCCCACCTTTGTTTGTCTTAAGAAAATAATACTTTTTTTTTTTTCCTATTTGAACAGGCAGATGACTAATCCTCATGGTCTTTGTCCTTGACGTCGTTCTACGAGAAAACAAAGCGGCTGGTTTTGCTTCCCCGTGCGTGATTTACTCTTACAGATGATTCAGAGGTCACTTCATTTTTATTAAACAGTGAACTTGCCTGGCTTTGGCACTCTCTGCCATTCTGTGTAGTCTGCAGTGGCTCCACTGCCCAGCCTGTTCTCCTTAACCCCTTGTCCACAAGGGGTGATGGCCGGCTGGTTGTGGACACTGGTGGTCAAGTGTGAAGGAGAGGGGTGGAGGCTGCCCCATTGAGATCTTCCTTTTGAGTCCTTTCCAGGGGCCACTTTCGGATGAGCACGGAGCTGCTGCCTCTCCGCTGCTGGACGACTTCAGATGGAAAAGGAGAGACGTGGAAAGGGAGACAGCCAGGTGGCACCTGCAGTGGCTGCCCTCTGGGGCCACTTGGGTAGTGTCCCCAGCCTAGTTCTCCACAGGGGGTTTTGGATGATTGGTTCTTAGTGCCTTAGCAGCCCCGGATGGTGGCTGGAAATAAAGGGACCAGCCCTTCATGGGTGGTGACGTGGTAGTCACTTGTAAGGGCAACAGAAACATTTTTGTTTTTACAGGGTGAGAATGTAGACAGTGCCCTTGGTGCAAGGGAAGCAATTGCACAGGCACTTGCCCTGAGCACTCCTGGTGCAGGTCTCCACCTGCACATTGGGTGGGGCTCCCTGGAGATTGCACATGCCCCTTGGTCCTGGCAGGGGGCCAAGTCTGGCACCACATTGGCCTCTTCAGGCCTACTAGTCACTGGAAATTGAGGTCCATGGGGGAAATCAAGGATGCTCAGTTTTAGGTACACTGTTTCCAAGTTATGTTTCTACACATTGCTACCTCAATGCTCCTGGAATCTTAGCATTTGATGTCTCCAAGTAGTCCACCTACATTTAACTCTGAAACTATCATCTTTTTGCCAAGTTTGAGTGGTGGCCTATTTGAGATACTTTGACAAAATGATTGGCTTCTGACTTTATGTTCTATAAATGAATGTGCTGAAGGAAAGTGCCCATGGTGGCGGTGAAGAAGAGAAAGATGTGTTTTGTTTTGGACTCTCTGTGGTTCCTTCCAATGCCGTGGGTTTCCAACCAGGGGAAGGGTCCCTCTTGTATTACCAAGTGCCATAACCATGAGCACTACTCTAGCATGGTTCTGCCTCTTGGCCAAGCAGGCTGGTTTGCAAGAATGAAATGAATGATTCTACTGCTAGGACTTAACCTTGAAATGGAAGGTCATGCAATCCCATTTGCAGGATCTGTCTGTGCACGTGCCTCTGTAGAGAGCAGCATTCCCAGGCACCTTGGAAACAGGTGGCACTATAAGGTGCCTGCTCCCCAAGACACATCCTAAAAGGTATTATAATGGTGAAAACGTCTTCCTTCTTTATTGCCCCTTTTTATTTATGTGAGCAACCATTTGTCTTTTTTGTATCTTTTTTAAACTGTAAAGTTCAATTGTGAAAATGAATATCATGCAAATAAATTATGCAATTTTTTTTTCAAAGTAATTACTGCATCTTTGAAGTTCTGCCTGGTGAGTAGGACAAGCCTCCATTTCCTTGTAAGGGGGTGATGTTGAGGCTGCTGGTCAGAGGACCAAGGTGAGGCAAGGTCAGTCTTGGCGCTCCTCTGGTTGGTGCCCTCAGTTCCTGAAGCCTGTCCTGTTGGAGAGGTCCCTCAAATGACTCATTATTATTCTGTTAGTCTGTTGCCATGCTCCTAATAAAGACATACCCAAGACCACAATTTATAAAAGAAAGAAGTTTGTTGGATTTACAATTCCACATGACTGGGGAGGCCTCACAATCATGGCAGAAAGCAAGGAGGAGCAAGTCACATCTTATGTGGGTGGCAGCAGGCAAAGAGAGAGTTTGTGCACAGAAACTCCCATGTTTAAAACCATCAAATCTCGTGAGACTCATTCACTATCCCAAGAACAGCACAGGGAAGACCTGCCCCCATGATTCAATCATCTCCTACCAGGTCCCTCCCACAACACCTGGGAGTTATGGGAGCTACAAGATGAGATTTGGGTGGGGACACAGAGCCAAACCATATCATTCTGCCCCTACAGCCCCAAAATCTCATATCTTTACATTTTCAAAATGAGTCAGGCCTTCCCAACAGTCCCCCAAAGTCTCAACTCATTTCAGTATTAACTCAAAAGTCCAGAGTCTCATCCAACACAAGGCAAGTCGCTTCTGTCTATGAGCCTGTGAAATCAAAAGCAAGTTAATTACTTCCTAGATATAATGGGGTAAATACAGGCATTGGGTAAATACAGCCATTCCAAATGGGAGAAATTGGCCAAAATAAAGGGGGCTGCAGGCCCTTTGCAAGTCCAGAATCCAGCAGGCCAGTCAAATCTTAGAATGCCAAAATGACCTTCTTTGACTCCATCTGTCATATCCAGGTCATGCTGATGCAAGAGGTGGGTTCCCATGGTCTTGGGCAGCTCCCTCTCTGATTTTGCAAGATATAGCCTTCCTTCCTGGCTGCACCTTGGGCTGGTGTTGAGTGTCTGCAGCTTTTCCAGGCACATAGTGCAAGCTGTCAGTGAATCTACCATTCTGGGGTCTGGAGGATGGTGGCCCTCTTCTCACAGCTCTACTAGGCAGTGACCCAGTAGGGACTGTGTAGTGGCTCCAACCCCACATTTCCCTTCTGCACTGCCCTAGCAGAGGTTCTCCATGAGGGCCCCACCCTGCAGCAAACTTCTACCTGGGCATCCATGCATTTCCATACATCTTCTGAAATCTGAGCAAAAGTTCCCAAACCTCAGTTTGTGCACTGGCAGGCTCAACACCATGTGGAAGCTGCCAAGGCTTAAGGCTTGTGACCTCTGAAGCCACAGCCCAAGCTGTACGTTGGCCCCTTTTAGCCATGGCTATAGTGGCCAGGATGCAGGGCATCAAGTCCCTAGGGTGCACACAGAACAAGGACCCTGGGCCTGGCCCATGAAACCACTTTTTCCTCCTAGGCCTCTGGGTCTGTGATGGGAGGGGCTTCTGTGAAGACCTCTGACATGCCCTGGAGATACTTTCCCCATTGTCTTGGGGATTAACATTCAGCTCCTCATTACTTATGCAAATTTCTGCAGCTGACTTGAATTTCTACTCGGAAAATGGGATTTTCTTTTCTATTGCATTGTCAGGCTGCAAATTTTCCAAACTCTTATGCTGTTTCCCTTTTGAAACTGAATGCCTTTAACAGCACCCAAGTCTCTACTTGAATGATTTGCTGCTTGGAAATTTCTTATGCCAAATAGCCTACATCATCTCTCTCAAGTTCAAAGTTCCACAAATCTCTAGGGCCGGGGCAAAATGCCCCCAGTCTCTTTGCTAAAATATAACAAGAGTAACCTTTGCTCCAGTTACCAGCAAGTTCCTCATCTCTATCTGAGACCACCTCAGCCTGAATTTCATTGTCCATATCATTATCAGCATTTTTGTCAAAGCCATTCAAAAGGCCAGGTGTGGTGACTCACCCCTGTACTCCCAGGATTTTGGGAGGCCAAGGCAGGCAGACCACCTGAGGTCAAAAGTTCAAGACCAGCCTGGCCAACATGGTGAAACCCCATCTGTACAAAAATACAAAAATTGGCCAGGCATGATGGTGGGTGCCCGTAGTCTACTGTAAACTACTAAGGAGGCTGAGGCAGGAGAATCGCTTGAACCTGGGAGGTGGAGGTTCCAGCAAGCTGAGACTGTGCCAGTATACTCCAGCCTAGGCAAGAGAGTGAGACTCCGTCCTTATGTTCCCTCCTCCAGACCCTATTTTCCTGCCTCACTTACAGGGCAGACCACAGAAGCTGGAGAGCAGGCTCTGATCCCAGCACTGTCCGTCATGGGTGGGAATGGAGGGATGGGTAGGGAGGGGCAGTTCCATTGCTTGCCTGAGCCCAGGGCCCCTCTAAGTGCAGGAAGGAATCACACAAAGCGGTCTCCAGGGCTCTCTCCAAGTTCTGACCACTGGGACCCCTCCCCTCTCCACTCTCAATGACTAGTTAGGACAGGCCTGGGGGATCACCACACATGTTCATTTTGGCCGAAAGGAACGTCCTTGCGGGCACCTTGGGGCGTCCCCAGCAGGTTCACTCCCCTGGGGAAATTGAAATTGCTGTTCTCTGGGACACACATTGTCAGCTTTCTTCATCCTTTCTGGTTATCACTAGCAAAATTCTAACAACAGCAAAATAGAATCCTGTGCAACACTTTGACGCCTCCGACTCTGTTTCCAGTGCAGCAGAACCTTAAGGCAGGTGGAAGACTAACTTGGGTGGTGGTGGAAGGAAGGGACGTTTTGTAGTGGAGAAGTTTCCCAGGCCTGCCACAAGAGGGCACCCGCCTCATGGAAGGGCCGGCCTGTCTGACTCACCAACACAGCAGAGGACCTGGGCCACCTCCACTGCAAGAACGCGTGCCTAGTATTGAATTAAGAATGCTTGGACCCGGCCGGGCGTGGTGGCTCAAGCCTATAATCCCAGCACTTTGGGAGGCCGTGGTGGGTGGATCATGAGGTCAGGAGATCGAGACCATCCTGGCTAACACAATAAAATCCTGACTCTACTACAAATACAAAAAACTAGCTGGGCATGGTGACATGTGCCTATAGTCCCAGCTACTTGGGAGGCTGAGGCAGGAGAATTGCTTGAACCTGGGAGGCAGAGGTTGCAGTGAGCCGAGATTACGCCACTGCACTCCAGTCTGGGCGAGACTCTGTCTCAAAAAAAAAAAGAATGCCTGGACTCGCCCAGCCTTACTCTTGCAAACCTGTGTGTGTGCTGGTGTCGTCTCTCCCTTAAGCATGAGTCAAAATGATCAGCCTCTGCTAACTCAGTAGCTCAAGTCAGCCTGCAGGTGCACGTCAGCACCTGGGGGAGCCATAAAGGTACTGCCCAGCGGCAGCTGCTGACCTGGGCTTGTGAAATGCCCACTGCTCTCCGGACATCCTCTCTTATAAATGAATTCTCAAACTTTCCGAAGAATTGAGAATTATAGAGTCCCAAGAGTCAGAAGAGATCTGGGATGGGGGGCAGTCCAGAGGGGAGAGGATTGAGTTGCTGGTCCAGCCCCCATCCCCAACCTGACAAGCAGCTGTGCAGCTTGGCCTGATGCCTCCACTGCCTGGGACCTCACAGCTCCTGAGGAAGCCATGCCATCCGGGGGCCCCCCTGTAGAAAGTACCCCCATTACCCACACTGATCACCTAGAATGTACCTCCCCAGAGGACATCGCACCTTGGTGCTCACACTTCATCTCTCTTGTTGCCTCTTGGCTTTCTCTTTCCTAGGCTCGGGCAATCCTGATCCTTCAACTCTCCCCTTAAGGGACACAGTGTTTGGTCCTCTCCTGCCCCATCCATCCAGTCCACTGTTCAACTTCCTGCCCTTGAGCCTGCCTTGGCCTCAGGGTGAGGAGGCCCAACAGCAGCACTGATTGGCAGCCATGGTTCTCAGGCTCAGGGCATAAGAGTGTGGCTTAGAGTCTCCCCCCACCAGGCTAGACCAAAGAGAACTTCAGTCGGGTTCTCCTCCAAGGTTAGTGTTCTGCCTTCTCTGCTTCCCAGACCACTCCCCCAGCCACAGCCTCTGCAGGTAAAGGCCCACTGGGAAACCTCTTTTTTCTGATATGAAGTCTTACTCTGTAGCCCAGACTGGAGTACAGTGGCACAATCTGGGCTCACTGCAACCTCCACCTCCTGGGTTCAAGCAATTCTCCTGTCTCCGCCTCCCGAGTAGCTGGGACTATAGACACATGCCACCACACCCAGCTAATTTTTGGATTTTTAGTACAGACGGGGTTTCACCATATTGGTCAGGCTAGTCCTGAACTCCTGGCCTCAGGTGATCCACCCGCCTTGGCCTCCCAAAGTGCTGGGATTACAGCGTGAGCCACCGCACCTGGCCTGGCAACCTCTTCTTGACTGGACCTTGTGCTTTTCAACTCCATGCTAGGTACCCAGTGACTCAACAAATTGGACACTTGATCAATGCACATTATTAACAGTTAGCACCGCTGGCTTCATATTCTGTTTCATTTTTTTAAAGTGTGCTCCCCCATTTCCCTCCAGTCTGTAGGAAATCATCAGACCCTGTTCTTTTGCTCGCTCCTACCTGGCCCCGCCATGGAGGGCAGCTTTAGCGCCGACTGCTCCATTGCGTCCTACCTGCTAGTTTCAGGCTTCTCCCCAAAATACAAAACATGGCAGAGCCGTGTCCACTAGAAATAAGTTTATTACAAATGGAGGAGACAGGGCTCTGACAGGACTGACACACATGGCACTCATGCTCCTAAAACACTGGATTGGTGTAGGGACATTACAAACACCAGGAAATAAGCTTCTGTGATGCTCAGCCCATGTCAGCTCCTAAGAATACAGAGAAGGGGAAGAGCTGCCAGGTGGAGCAATTCTGAGGGCTGAAAATCCCTTTCCCAGTACAAAGACAGCATCCTTCATCCCCACCAGCTCATGTGCATCTGAGGGTGGGGCTTTGTCTTCATGCTGGAAACCAAACTGCTCTCACAGCTTCTTGCTAAATTGCCATGGGCTAATGGATAAGCAGAGACTGTGACTATCAAGTCTGACTACTGAGCACTCAAGTAGTCTGTTCAGTGGTTACCTGGGAACAGGGGCAGACGGTGTGAGTGTACCTCTACAGGGCTGGACAGAGCGTGGTTAGCCAGGGAACTGGGCGAGCCGGCGCCGAGCTTGCGTCAGCCGTGCAAGTCTCTCCTTCAGGA